ATTCTCAAGTAAGGACAGGGGTCCAGGGATGCAAATCACAGGTAAAGCACTTACTCTGCTCACCGTATGCCAAATTCTTTGCTAACTGTTCTGCGGTCCTGGTGGTGAGGTATGCATCAGGAAGCAGCACCCCTGTGGAGGGCCACCTAGCTACCAGGTCTAGCTCTAGGGCCAGTGCTCCTAAGCACTGCAGCTGCTCTGCCATGTGATTGGACATGTGAAAGGGGAAAACAATACACAGGGCCAAATAAACATGACAGGAGAGCAGTTATAAGCTTCCAGGGCCACAGAACTAGCAGTGGCAGCAATGTTGGGTCCCGCTGGGTCCCAGCCAGCATTGGTTTCAAAAGGATTGTTGAGTAATTTCACCCTACCTGATGAGAGATCAGGGTATCTTTAAAATAGCAATAACCTTCAGTCTACACAAAGACTCACCCTTTGGTTCACTCTTAGCTTTCTATCAGTTTTTCCTCCGAGACCCTGTTTCCTGTTCTCTTAAATGGGGATCATTATTCCCCCACCCACTCCCAAACGAAAGAGTTGCTGAGTAGATCGGTCAAGGTGATCTATGTCGGCAAACCCAGCCCAGTGCCTGGCATGTGGACCTCCACCAAGTGTCACGTGGCTAGAATCTCATTTGCGCTGAGACTCGGCCGCCGTTCCAGGGCCGTTCCTCGTCTGTCTGTCACGGTCAGGCTGATCTGACCCCAGAGCCCCCTGGGCCACTTCTCCTGCGGCAGACAGCTTCTTTATTCGATCTAACTACAGGTGATCTGTGCCCCCGGCCCAAGGTGTACATTCTCACTAACACAGCGCCCCGATGTGCCTTTTTACCCGCCTGCCCTCACATCCCCTGCGCCTGCCTTTGTCGAGGAACAGCAGAAGCAAAGATGCGAAGCAGCGACTGACAGCAAAGCGAAGCCTCCTTCCCACAGGCCTTCTGCCAGTCATGTGGCCTTGTCCACTCTCTGCTCTTCGCACACTGCCCGGCGCTCTTGCGTCAGCACCTACTTTAGGTGGAGCTCTGGGGGGGCGTGCTTTCAATTCAGCATACTCCCCGTGAGCAATGTAAAGGATACAGGTGGGCCTTTGACTCTCTGTTAATGTTATACTTACCTGCATGAAGGACATAGTGTCATTGTGTCAGCAACTTTATCCCTGCCTGTCTTCCTACACCCCTGCCGCCCTGGAAAGTGCTTGTTGCTGCTACAAATGATTTCTTCTTACATCAGACCTGTTTTCCTCCTAAGCCGAGAGGGGTGGGAAACATGATAGGATGTCATAGAGGGACCCCTTACGTCTAATTGGGAAAACACACTCCAAAAAAGGAAAGGACAGAAGCTTACCATGGTGCGTGTTTTAAAAGGCCCAGGGGTGTTAGTGGACCGAGGGTCAACACTTGAGTTGATGCGCTGGTGCTCAGTAACTGTCGACTCTGCAGAACCGTTCTGGGAAACGAGGTGTCCAACATGAATGAGTGTCCGCCCTGCTCCTGAGGACACGGTCCTGTTAGAGGCTTGCATAAAATTATACTGGGGTGCCTGGAACCTGAGAGGGTGTGCAGACACCCATTCAGCCCAGGGCAAGCCCAGGAAAGAGACTCTTGCCAAAGAGGCAAGGCATGAGCATGGGGCTTGAAGGATGCAAAGGAGGTTGGGGCGTAGGTAAGGACTGAATGGAGGTCCAGGAACAGAGGGGGCTGGAAAACCACAGTGTACTCGGAGATTCACACACCTCTCTTGCCCCCTGGTGGAGGGAACACAGGGTAGGCAGTGTAGCCTAGACAAGGCTAGGGAGGTGAGGCAGGTCTAATGTGTACCTTGGGTCAAAAGCAGGGTACAGACCTAGATCTGGGGAGTATGGAGCGAGAAGAAAGCTAAGCTAGAACCCTAGCAAACAGGACCCTTTAAAAGAGCAAAGGAGGGGGGACCCCAGAAGGAACTTGCTTTGGAGGAAGAAGGGGTGATACCGGCACCAAGGGAGGGAGGAGCGGGCCAGAGTGTGTTCAGCCAGGCCAGAGAGGAGGCAAGAAAGTCCAGAGGCTAGACGTGCATCTTGAATGGAGCAGCCGAGGGGCCAGCCGCCTGGATCTCTCTGCTACCTGTGTGCCCCAGTGCTGTCCCCAAGCAGAAAGTCTGTATCTTTCTGACAGGGCTGGTCACTCAGACCGAAGGGCTAAGGCAGGTACCATCCTGTGCAGGTACACAATCCTCTCCTTCATGCCTTGCTCCTGCTAGGCCCGCCCACTCCAGCAGCTCAGCTCCTTGCTTCCTTGCTCTTCCGTGGGCAGGACAAATCCCTCAGGACAGAGTTCCAACTGGTGTTCCAACCCCCACATTCCCGCCTGCACCTACACACTGTCTGGCCTTCTAGACTCTGGCCACACTGATCTCCTCTGGTCCTCCCACTGGCCAGGTTCCCTGCTGCCTCGCCGATTTCCCTGGGAGCCTCTGAGATGCCTCCCTCTTCCCCACTGACCTTGCTGCCTCCTGCCTGTCCTCAGCCCCCTCCTTGCTGTCACTCCTTCCAGGCAGTCTTCCAGAGTGCCCTCCCACTCATAGCTCTCAGCCCCCCGGCCTGCTAGATGGGCCTCCGTTGGTAAGCAAGGGTTTGTGTAAACCTGTGGCCATCTTCCTGTCCATCCCTCACTAGAGGGTGAAGACCCCTTGGGGGGGAGGGGGCTCTTCACAGATGTGGGCCTGGAGCTGGTCTGTTTGATCACCAAGTGGTGGGGCTAGGCCCTGTGTGCCCCTTGTGCTCCTGGCTGGTGTGCCCCTTGTGCTCCTGGCTGGCACCTTTGCCACCCCTCCAGCTCTGCCCGTCTGCTGAAGATCTGTGATTGCCCGCTGCCCTGGTGAGCCTCCCTACAGGCCTCCAGACCCCACAGTGGCTGCCGCCCACCCAGATTGCCCTTACTTTGTTGGATGCACCTTTTTTCCAGGTGTTTTAAAGTCTTAGGGATCTAAAGAGGTTGTCATCGGAAGCTGAACTGTTCCCGTCACCCAGAAACCCTCCATCATTCTAGTGAATGCAGTACAAGCCCTGCCCTGGGCCCAGCTCACGGGCCAGCCACCTGTGTGGCCACGCTGGCCCCCTGTGCTCAGCAGGCCCCGCACTCACAGGGCCGGGTGCTGATCTGAATGCCTTGCCATTCTTACTTGTTGAACAAGGGCCCCTCGTTTTCATTTTACACTGGGCCCCGCAAATTGTGTAGCCGGCCCTGCCACCTAGCTCCCAAGGGGGCTGTGAGAGAAAGTGTGTGCCTGCCCCTGAGTCTGGTGGTGGGGAGTTCTCTGGTCACTGACTCTCGCTGTAGTTCTGCTCAAGCCCAACCACAGTCAGTAATCCATTCTTCTGTTTTAAGTGCTGTGATCAGGGGCATCGATCGGTCAGCTGCTTCATTCTCTTGTGCAGCTGCGGCCTCTCCTCCGCTGGGTTCTAAGCGGAGCTCCCAGGGGGCTGCTCTGAGGCTGTACCGTTAGCAAGTCCCTAGGTGACGCTCTGTCGTCCGTCATCTGTGGAGCAGAGTTTGGGAGCCTCCATCCTAGGCTCAGCTCGAACTCCTTGGGATCGCATTCAATGTCCTTTCCCAGCCTGCCTCTGTGTGTGCCCCAACCCCACAGCAAGCGTTGCTCTCCCTGACAACCTGGCGAGCCCCTCTGACTGCCGCTGTTTCTTTACCAGCAGCGCCCCCCTCTGAGAAAGTGTCACCAGCCGCCCCATCCCCTTCCACAGACAATGCTGCTCCTTCCTTTCCATCCCCCCACCCCTGCCCTGCCCAGTGTTCCCTTCCTCCCAGCACGTGGCCCGCCCCAGCGGGGTCTGCTCCTGACCGGCTTCCCCGGGAGCTCTTTGAGGGCACTCACCTCTGTGCTTCACTAGAACAGCATCGGTGATGAACAGCTACGCCTCCCGTTGGACACCCCAGCCTGAGCTCAGCACATGCCGGTGCTCAGGGAAGCCCACTGATCGGGTCAGCCCACTGGGGGTGATCGCACAGGCCTTGGCCATTAAAGCTCATGCGGCCTACCAGCAAACCAAAGGCCTTTCCGGCCCCGGGTGCTCGTCTTGTCCCTGCAAGACTCATGCTGCTTCCAGCTCTGTCAGGCCCCAGAGCCTTTCCTCCCAGGAGTCCAGACACATTGGGATCATTCCAGAAGGTCTTGCATTTATAGTATGGAAAGGGACATTTGTAAATGAGAGCTTTCTGTGTGTGATACGTGTTCCCCCCCATGCCCTTTGGGGGAGACCCAGAAGGTGACCGAAGCCTAGGCCACTGCTATTTCAAAGCAGCTCCTCGGTGAACCAGTGAGAGGTGGGCTTCGTTCCTCCAGACCTGTGAGGTTTTACATACTTTTCCTACTATATTAATCTTACTCTTCCAGCTGCTGCTGATGGCACCAAATGAATGATTTCCTTCTGATTAAATACCCCCTGGTGCTGTGTTTTCATGAGTCTTCTGGTCCACGTCTGTGCCTTAGAAGGCAGCAGTGGATCCATGAAAATGCTTTCCTGAGCACCTACTATGTGCGCCAGGCTGAGGACGAACAAGCTTCCTGATTGCCAGTGGTTGTCCCTTGCCCCTGGACTCCCATGGCATGGAGACCATGGATGATGGGTAATGAAACCAAGAAGACAGAGCAGACAGAGGCCCGTGGGTCCCATGGGTGTGTTCTGTCCAGTGGACAGAGAAGTGCATTAAACTACCCCCACACACACACACACACACACACACATTGACCTTCCTTCCATGAGACCTGAGGAAGCCTTTCTTCCTCCTGGATGTCCTTCCCAGAAGGCAGCGCGGTGGCTGCTGCAGTGCAGAACCCCCTGGGAGGACAGGGGCTGGTGAAGTTGATGCTGGAAAAGGTGGCAGCGCACCAGGAGGACCCACTCTTCCTGCTCTCTGCAGCCTGTGTGGCTTCTGGCACCAGGTGCCTTCTCAGGAGGGGAATGCCCCACCCCCGCTAACCTGCCGTTCTCCTCTGTCTTTCTCTCAGGCACATCTCTCTAACGCTCCCTGCTACCTTCCGAGGCAGGAACAGCACTCGGACCGACTATGAGTACCAGCACTCCAATCTGTATGCCATATCAGGTACGTGGGAGCCACTGCTGAGGACTTGTGTGTGTCCTGCCCCTGCCCCGTGCTCCCTGGCTCCTCCCGGCACCTGTCTGTCTTCGCTCTGCTCTCCCCGCAAAAGCCCGGGGCTTCCCGGGGCAGGCCTTCCCTGTCCTTCTTGTCACCACAGCACTTAGAGACGGTCAGACACTCGCCATGCTTTAGAACTAATGATGAAAAACAGCGTGGAGATTTCACACACTTGAAGGCAGGTTTCCAGAGAGGAGTCGCCAACCTGCCAGGTTCTGAGCTGGCTTCTCCCCGGGGAACCAGCGCAGCGGAGAGTGGAGCGGAGCGCAGCTCTTCTGCCCCCCAGGACCCAGCTCTGTCCGCCCTCTCATTTCTCAAAGCCAGGTTTGTGGCCAGGGAATTCGTTGGCGGGCTCCCTGGCCCATGGACTCAGAGTGTCAGTCTGTGATTTCTGAGCTTGGCCTTGAAATTGATCGTGTTGCCTTGGCAGGGACTTCATCAGTCCTAGTTTTCCTCTTCACCTTCACCTGGGAGGGGAAACTCCCCAGCCTTATTACAGACTGGAGATTCACTATGTGCTTGGCGGTGCAGGGGACTGGCTAAGCGCTGAGGAAGCCCACGAACTCACCTCCGATTACACCAGGCCGCCAGTCAGGGGTGCTGGGGGGGGGGGGGCAAATCAGTGCCATTTACGCGGGCACGTCCTTAATGGTGAATGACACTTTGAACACAGGAACATGGCAGTCATTCATGTACCATAATGAATCAGTTGTTTAAAAGGTAATCTTTCTTTCTTCTTCTTCCTCTTCTTCTAAAAATTGCAACTTCGGGTTACTAAACAGATGAAATAGAACAATGGCATAATTTGTGTCAGTATTCGTTTTACTTGTTATGATCACTCCCTAATAGGTTTGGAAGTAGAAGCAAAAGCCAGTTCCTTCCGTTTCTGGGCAACACTCACCCCTGCTGCAGGAGCAGGCGGGTCTTCAACCCTGGGCCCTGGCCGCATGCCAGGAGCCCGGCCTTAAAGGGTAGAAGGGACGTGTTTGTCCCAGGAAAGCCTTTGGGGGAGAATTTCTTTTGTGCTGTGGCTATTTCAGCCGCACCAACAGGGAGCGTAAGAAATCTGGCAGGATGACTTATTTTGGAGAAACACTGAATCTTTCCCAGGCGCTTAGGGGCAGAGTGGTACAAAGCGGGCCTGGGAAACCCCGGAGGGTCCTGCTCAGAGTGCACAGAAGGAAAGCACCCTCAGAACACATGACTTCTTTCTCCAGCCTGCAAATCTTTTCCCAGCCGCCACTGCCGTCTCTGCTCGCTGATGGCTTTCCCGGCTGTAGAAGTCTCCTGCAGAAAAAGGCCTGCTGAGCGCAGCCGCTGCAGGTTTGGCAGGAAGGGCCCTGTCTACCTCTGGACCGCCGCTCCCTCAGCCCACGGCTGTGATGAGGTGTTGTCTGGGTTCATTTCAGCTGTGCATGAAGCAGAGTAACAGCCTCAGGACCCAGGGGAAGCCATCCAGGAACTTCCTGCTACATGTATGTGAGTGGCAGCCAATTGGATTTCCTCTTCCAAGCGGAGCTTGGTGAGGCAGCAACCCACTGGCAGCAGAGATCTCTGGCCGCCTCTGCTGCAGCAAGCCCCACCTTGCTCTGCCAGGGCCCAGGGTGCTCAGCTGTGGGGCTGCAAGACAGCCTGTAGGACCCGCTGGCTCCACCAGGCCTGAAAGCCCAGCACTGGGCAGCTGGGAAGGTTGCCTGCCTGCCCACCCACCAGCAGCCTGCCTGTGAGTCATTCTGGCCAGAAGGGAACAGAGACCCCACCCACCTCTCCCTGGGATCTCAGTTCGGTGTTGCGAAGTTTGAGTTTGCAGTAGTTTGTTGCAAAAGCAGTTAAGGCCAAGTGTGCCCCAGGCCCCAGCCCTTGCCCGGTACTTGGTGCCATGAGAGTTGGCATTCTGCAGGTAATGAATCGCAGACTCATTCCCTCTGGCTCTGACAGGTGCTCCCTGCAGACTCCAGGGGCTAAGCCGTTGGTACAAGCGTCTGGCGTGCCTGTGTCATGCCTGAAGACATCTGATAACTGCTCCCTTAGCTCACAGGCCCTTCCTAAGGTAAATGCATTATCAGAACAATGTAATCAGATTTGAAAACATCCGGCATTTAATTTGCATGCACACCTACTCCTCGCTTAATGACTCTCTCCTTGTTGGGCATTTCTGTACTCCTGGCCATAGTGCACACCCCACTCTCGGACTATTTTGTGCATTCGTGCCGTGGATGTCTGGCAGTAGCAAGCACCAGGGTGCTGGGATGGTTAAAGTTTGGTGGGAGTACCATAAGAGTGGTGTTGGCAGGAAGGGAAATTGTTGCTGCCACCTGGGGGCTGGGCCAGCAGGTCATGGGACATGGAGAGCCGAGGGGAGGGGCTGGAGCGGAAGAGGAGGAGGAGGGGGAAGAGGAGGAAGGTGGAACACACAAGCATGCAGGGTAGCTGCATGTCTGACGTGGGACATGAGTGTTCATCGATGCTACAGCATAGGCCCTGCAGAGGCACGCACCTGGCCTCCCTTTCTGTACAGAACGCTGCTCAGGCATCGCGGCTAGGACCCTTGCCCAGCTTCAATGCCCACAGGTATGCAGAGCAGGGGATCCCACGGGGCAGCAGATTCATCAAAGGCCCAGCCTCCCAATGTCAGCTCCACCAGACTGAGCAGCCAGAGCTTGCCCGTGAACTTCAAGCACTGTTTTGGTTAGACCCAAAACAAACAAACAACCCACCTCACTGCCAGCAAGTCTATTGCGACTCACAGAGACCCCATAAGGTAGGGTGGAACTGCCCCTCTGAGTTTCTGAGATTCTGAACTCTTTTCAGGAACCGGAGTAGAAAGCCTCATCTTGCTCCCGCAGGGCAGCTGATACTATAGAACTTCTGACTTTTCGTTTAGCAGCCTAATGTGTAACCCCTACACCACCAGGGCTCCTTTGGTTAGGCCCATGCTACCATAATTTTTGTATAATGTCCCTTTTACCTGTGACCTGGTCTCTGAAACCTTGACACATCCCTGTAGCCTACAACAACGTCCAGTCCACCCCTGCCTGTGTTTGTATGGCTCAGGAGCTGGGAAGGGCCCTTCGATTTTTAAATGGTTGAAAACAATCAGAGGTATAATATTCATTGGCACATAAAAATTCTATGAATTTCAAATGTCAGTACCTATAAAGAGCGCTTTATTAGAACACAGCTATGCTCCTTCCTCTGCAGACTGTCTAGAACCGCTTCCACACCGGCATGGCAGAGTTGAGCAACCTCAGCGAAGAGCTCCACTACCATCCAGCCCATTCCAAAGTCACTGTGACCCCACAGAGGGCTTCTGGGGCTGTGCATCTTGATGGGAGCAAACAGCCTCATCGTCCTCCCACCGAGTGGCCGATGGGCTTGAACTGATGGCCCTGCTGTTAGCAATCCAGTGCTCACCAAACAGCACCCCCAGTAAAAAGATGAACTGTGTGGCCCCTTTATGGGGAAGCTTGCTGACCCCGGGCTATGCCGTCAGCCCTAAGCAGTCATTTCTAGAACCGCCGTGTTTACGGTCCTTGCTCTTCTCCCAGCTGTGGCTCTCCTGGAAATGAACTTCAGCCTGTTGCTTCCCAGTGTGTGCCTTTGGCCCCTAGCTTCCTTGAAGGGCTCTCTTCAGGGCTTCTCTAAATTCAGCCTCCCACCCTCCTACCCGTCACCAGCAGTGTTCTTTCTACGAACACCTTCTCTTTCCAGAGATCCAGATTGTGGCATCTGACGTTTTCACTTACAGTTACCTTATAACGACCACACACAAAAAAGAAAAGTTTCTTGTGTGACTTTTTATTTATTCTCTAATTATTCAGAAAAGACTTCAGGTAGCTTCAGAAATGTGTGTTAACAAAGTGAAAGTGTAAACAGGGACATAAACGGTGAAGGGAACAATAGGACAGCAAAGTAGGGGGTGGCTGTGGGCAGGATTTTGCAAGAAGAGGATGCCGGTTCTGAGTCAGAGGGCGATCTGAGCCCTGGTAGCGCTGTGGGTTAGGCATTGGGATTTTCACCACAAGCCCAGTGGTTCAACCTATCAGCTGTTCCGAGGGAGCCAGAGCCCTAGAGCTGGAGGAGCCACATGGAAAGCACTGAGATGCTTCCACCGCCACTGGATCCACAAGACATTCCACTCACCGGAGGGTGATCTTCCTGCATTCGGTGTCATTGCATGAGTTGAAGAGGAATTTGTAGACTTGTATCAGACATATGGGGTAATATCGGGCTTAAGGACTTGATCTAGACTGGGCTGGGGTGTTTTCTTAATCTACAATTGCTCTTTGAGATGACACTCTCTCTCACACACACGGGTGTCTCTGGATTTGTTTCTCTCGTCCACGGTACAAACACAGGCAGGCGTCCACCGGAAGAAGAGGCTCCGTCGTGATGAGCTCCGTGTGGCAATTTCCTTACCTTGCAGTGTTTCCTGTCAGCTTTAGGGCAGTTTCGCTTACCGAGCAGGTGATTATAGATAGAGGACTCCCCCTGGGCTGTTCCTCTTGTTGTTGTTGATTTCAATTCCCTAGTGCAGAATTTTGACCAGAGAGCTATCCCTTTCCGCTCTCTTGAAGAAGCTCCCCAAACTGGCACTGCAATGCCACGTGGGGACATGAGGCAAACTCATGCTGAGAGGGATATTGAGGAACCAAGATTCTCTCACGCACCCGTGGCTCGGTGGGAACCGCGGTGCTGGAAGCCACACCAGGCAGAGCACGGCTCTGCCTCTGTACAGAGTCGGGTTGCCAACTGATAGCTTCACCCACCCATCAGCCAGTCTCCGGGCCACATGATCGATTCTGAGCAGGCAAGAGGGCCCGGGAGACCTTGCCTGGAACTGTCCCTGGGCCGACTGGGAGTGTATACACCAGGCCTTTAGTTTTAGTTTGGGCTTTGGGCAAGGTGAGGCTGTAGTTTTTCTTGTTGTTCTCAGTTTGCTGCCC